TCTTCAATCCTTCCTGCAGCGTTTCTGCTCTGGATCCTACCTGTACCTGTTCTCCCTGGGCCTCAGCCTCCTCCTGTTTGTCATCATCTGTGTGATCGGATCACAAAGTGAGGGTCACAGGGGGGAGCGATGGGACAATAATGAGGTGCAGTGTTGAGACAATGATGGGGATGGTGATGAGGATCATGGCAGGGGCAATGATGGACACAGTGACCATAGCAAAGCAATTATGGGCACAACAACTAGGGTTATGACCATGGCAATGCTGTCAAAGTCATTGGAGCCATAATGGTGGAGGCCTGAATGGGGTGATAGATAGCAGTGGTGGAGGTAGTGATGGAGGAAGCACTGTGTCCAACATGAGGGTGGTTGGAGAAGCACTGAAATTAGACAAAAGGGCTTGAATCTTGGTTTTGTCACCTAATAGTTGGGTTGTGTAGATAAGTTAAAGTCTCTGGGTAATGCAAATGCTTTGAGCTCAACTACCATCCTAAAGGTTGTCAGTGGGAGTCTGCCCAGAGGCTCTGAGGAAGAAAGCGCTGATAATCTGCTTCTGTAATGAAAACCTGTTAGGACAGTTCTATTCTGCACACATCGAGTTGCGAAGAATTGGAATCAACTTGACAGCAATGTGTAGACAAATGGCTGAATCTCTCAGCCTCCGTTTACTCATTGGCTATATGGGATAATAATATATCCTGCCCTATTGTGTTATTGTGAGGATTGAATGAGATGATGCTTGTGAAGTCTGTTGCTTAGTGTCTGGCACAGAGGGAGGACACTATCAATCTTGGCTCTGATTGACTGATCCTATTCATCAGTTTCCAAGCTCCGTTGGGACCTGATGACCCTAAGAACAATGTCCCTCAATTTCACATCGAACATGACAGATGAGATCAAGGCACTGAAAATCGAGGGTAAGCTGGGGATTGTGGGTAGGGCTGACTGGGGGAGAGGGTGGGAGCTGACTCCTGGGTACTGACCTCCCTGTGCTCCAGATGACAGTTCTCAAGGATTGCTAATGACTCTGAGAGCTGAGGTGGAGATACACAAGGAACAGCTACAAGCAGGTGAGAGACCTTCCGAGAGTATGTGCGGAAGGGTGGGGGCTGGGAGTTCAGGACAAGGGGGGGTTGGTGCAGCCTAATGGGTGCTGAGCTGGACTTCCTTCCAGCCCAAAGCTTGAAGGACAAGGTGACTACTCTGGAGAACAAGCTGGATACACAGATGCAGGAACTCAAAGCAGGTTAGAGACCGCCGCTACCTTGGGAAGGCGTTTGGGAGGCATGATGGTTCCTAGACAGGTCTATGCATGGACAGCTGACCTCCAGGGACTCACTGGGCAGAAGCCCCATCGAGAGCCCTATCCCCATTGTGCACTTGTCTGTGTTCAGATTATTCCAGCATGTTCCCGGCAGTCCAGCAGCTGGTAAAAGACCTGAAGTCCCTGTCTTGCCACATGGCTGCTCTCAAGAGCAATGGTGAGGAGTGTGTATGGAAATACCTGGTCCTTCATTTCTGTTCTCAGTTCCCTGTGCAGCAGCTCATCCCCTCTCTGCCCCCTCAGGCTCTCAGAATACCTGCTGTCCCATTAACTGGATGGAGCATGAAGACAGCTGCTACTGGTTCTCGCGCTCTGGGAAGTCCTGGCACGAGGCACAGAAGTACTGCCAGCTGAAGAATGCCCAACTAGTGGTGGTCACTTCCCAGGAGGAGCAGGTGAGGGCCCCAGAAGACATCATTCGGGAGGATGTTTGGTCCTAGAGTGATTACCATCATCTTCCTCTCTCCCCAGGATTTTATCCAGTCCCACACAAGCTCTATGAACCACTGGATAGGCCTCACCGATGAAAATGGGCCCTGGACATGGGTGGATGGTACTGACTACCAGACAGGCTTCAAGTGAGTGTGTGTATTCTCCCACAGCCCTGTTCCCTCTGCTCAGCCCGGCTGGTCCCAGTGACTCCTCAGGACTTGGCTAAGGGTGGGTTTCCTGGGTTCTGCCCACATGTGTTCTGTCTCCTCAGGAACTGGAGGCCAGAACAGCCAGATAACTGGTACGGGCATGGCCTTGGAGGAGGCGAGGACTGCGCCCACTTCACTGACAATGGTCGCTGGAACGATGATGTCTGCCAGAGGCCCTACCGCTGGGTCTGTGAGACAAAGCTGAACGGCACCAGCTAGGAACCATCTCTCCCCCTAACTTATTTCCTCAATGATTTGACCTGCCCAAGGGGTCTAGGATTGGAGATCCTCCTATCTGTGGGCCTCCTCCCCCTTCTCAGGAACTTTCATGTAGAAATTGAATGTAGAATGATGTTTGGAGGTATGGGAAAATTGAAACCTATCACTTTTTGTAATTTACTATCAAGTTTATTATTGACAATTTTTATTTTAAAGAGTAAAAAAAAAAAAACAGACTAAAAATTTCTAGGAGTTGTCTGGTATTGGGGACTAGCATCGAGAGTGGGCTGGATGGTACTAGGAGGCCTTGGGAAGGCAGAATGTTGTCATGGGAACTGCATAGGCTTGAGTCAGGTGACCTGGGCTAGGAGCCAGCTTTGTTATTTACTGATATGTGAGTTTGATCAAGTTGTCTACTCTCTGGGTCTCAGTTAGAAAATACTATTGCTATTGGGAGTCATTCTACTTGTTGTAACAAGACCCATAGGAATAGAACCCTTCCCATGTGTTAAGTGCTTCAAAAGCCTTGGATGAAATTCATTGCTGCCTGTTAGATTCATTACTGTAAACCCAAGAAACAACTACAGACAGGCTAATGTTAAGTACCCTTGTTGATTCTGACTCATAGCGACCCTGTATAGAAGTTTCCAAGGAGAAGCTGATAGGTTCGAACTGCCAACCTTTCAGTTAGAAGTCCAGTGCTTATCCTGTAGTGCCACTCCAGGACCCCACAGACAGGCTAATAGTATACCTCCACTACAAAGGGAAGCCAACACCCACATCTGAGGAAAAGCAGTACTACAGAACAGAAGCACCAAAATCAACAACCAAGGAGCAGAGTTAAAGGACAAACAGATTAAGATTTAACAAACTCTTAAGGGATTATTAACAAACACTGACAAAATAGCAGCCTACAGAGAAGAAAGAAGACCTCAACTCACTCCCAAAAGAGCAATGTTCTGGTTATGATCAAATTAAGTTGGAAACAATCACAGAAATATAGCCAAAAAAAGATCTCTCAACTTATGAATTATTTTACCCTTTTTGTAAATATATATATATATATATTTAATTTAAGGTTTTTATTGTTGATTGAGTGAAAGTTTACAGGGCACATCATCAGTTTCACATTCAACAATTGATATTTTTGGGTATTGGAGAAAATCAAAATGAAAAAATTAAGTGATTTAAAAATTACCAGTCAGTGCACTATATATGAGTTGAATTGACTGAGGGTTTTTGTGTGTGTGGTGTGTGTAGTAATCTTTACAGAAGCAGATTGTTCAGATTTTCTTCGATGGCATTATTGGGTGAGTTCAAACTAACAACCTTCAGGTTAGTTGTTGTTATTAAGTGCCATCGAGTCAGTTCCAACTCATAGCAATCCTATAAGGTTTCCGAGGGGCAGCTAGTTAGTAGCTGAGTAGAAATTATTTGTGCCACGGAGGGACCTCAAAGAACAAAATTCAAACCAACACCTGTTGCCATTGAGTTCATTCTGACTCACAGGGATTGTATAGGACAGATTAAAACTGCCCTACACAGTTTCAAAAGTTGTAGATCTTTTTGAAGTATTCTGTCACATCTTTCTCTTGTGGAACTACCGATGAGTTTAAATTGGTAGTTTTGTTGGATAAAGGAGAAGGAAAAAATTGCTGATTTTTCAGAAGTAGATTGCCAGGTCTTTCTTCCAAGGTGCCTCTGGGTAGCCTTGAACTATGAACCTTTCTGTTAGCATCTAAGTGCATTAACCATGTGCACCACTCAGGAACTAAAGAACTAATTGTTGTTGTTAAGTGCCGTCGAGTTGGTTCCTACTCAGGGATCAAGTATAGAGTTTCTGAGGAGCGGCTCGTGGATTTGAACTGCTGATCTTGTGGTTCCGCAGTCCACTGCTTATCCTACAGCCCTACACCAGGAGTCCAAAGATCTAGTAGAAGAAAAAAGAAAAGAAAGGCATTGTAATCTAGATACAAACAGAAAGTTGCCGTCAAGTCCATTTCAACTCATGTGATGGTGCCATGTGTTGCCGAGCAGTACTTCATTCTACAAATTGCCAGGTCTTTCTTCTGAGGTACTGCTGCGTGGGGTGAACTACCAATGTTTTGGTTAGTAGTTGAGTACTTAACCATTTGCACCACCTAGGGACTCATCAAAGTTATAGAAAAACTTCTTAAATAAGGCCTCTAAAATCAGACACCAGAAAGCCAGAAATGAGTGAAATTGATTGCAAGAAAATAAAAAAATTTAGTTCCATGGCAACCTTGTAACATTTAGGCCCCCAGTAGGAAACAGAGGGCACACTGGATATGAGTCTACAGTCAGGGTGCGGATAATTTTTGACTCACCCTCGTACATAGGTGTGAGCAGATTTAGGGAAGCAAGAAGAGATAAGGCAGGAGCCCAGGTATCGCAGCAATTGGAGCTGTGACTACCTCAAGAAACCAGTGAAAGAGAAAGTTGTATGGAGAGCCCCTCCCAACAGGAGTTAAGACTTTTGGTTACAAGAGGCAGCTGGCTTACAACAACCCTGTAGGAAGTGAGGGTGGACTGCTAGCTGGGAGCATCAACATCTTCACTTCACTCTTTTTCCTTCCTCTGGTTTCCTGCCTGGGCTGGGAGCCAGATGGCAAGGAAAGTCTTTGATGCACAGACCAGGTAAGAAGGGTGGAAAATGGATCTGGAGGGTCAAATGGAAGACATCCAGCACAGGAGACCAGAGATGAAGACATAGATAGGAAAGCTCTCAGAAAAATGGTAAAGGATATAAACAGACAGTTCACAGAAGAGAAAGTCCGACGTCTAAAGTGTATATGAAAACACACTTGTTTTTAGCTGCTGTTGAGTTGGCTCCCAACTCATGGCAATCCCAGGCACAATGGAATCAAATGCTCCCCAGTCCTGTACTAGCCAGCCCCTTGACCAGAGGATTACACTGCTCTGATCCATCTGGTTTTCACTTGCTAATGTTCAGAAGTAGATCATCAGGCTGGGCACTGAAAAGCAAAAACAAAGCAGTTCATCTTAGTCTGAAAGTTCCTCTGAAACCTGTTTAGCATCACAGGAACACACAAACCTCCAATGACAAATGGGTAGTAGCTTTGCGTTAGGTGTATTGGAGAAGACACATGTATAACCACTAGTAACTATTGTTGGGTGCCATTGAGCCAATTTTGAATCAGTGACCCCATGTAGGTCACAGTTGCTATGGATTGAATTGTATCCCCTTAAAATATGTGTTATACCTACAGATGTAATTCCATTTTGAAAGAGTGTTTTCTTTGTTATGTTAATGTATCAATATCAGTGTTGCTGTTGTTATGGGCCATTGAATAGATTCCAACCCACAGTGACCCTGCATAGGGCTTTCGAGGAGCGGCTGGTGGGTTTGAACCACCGACCTTACAGTTCAAACTGACCTTGCAATCCAGTGCATTATCCTACAGCACTATACCAGGTAGGGTAGTTCTTAAACATGATCAGTTTTTTTTTTACACAGAAGAAGTTTTATTATCTCGAATGCTGGCGCATTCAAATAACAAGTTTAATTTAGAGGAGGAGAAAGAGGAAAGGAAATGTCAGATACCGAGGTGCATTCATTTCTGGGCAGGTTGAAAACCTTTATAAAGTTGAGAGTTTAATTATTTGCAGCCTTTTAAAGATGTACAACTTTCCTTTTACATGACAACATTCACCAACTGTTCATATAATATTAAGTTGAACTGAACTCTTTCTCCTGTCAAATAAGTGAAAGTCAGAAGAGCAAAACATAAGTCTTCTCTAGTGTCTGAGTATTTAGAAATATTTTCTTCGTACTTTCACAAAACGTAGTAATGTTTAAAGGTTTTAATTAAGGGGGCCTTAATCTTTTACATTCTAAAATGAACACAACATGGATTTTCTCGAATTATAATAAAAATAACACATATAAACAAAATTTCAGAAGCTCTTGGAAACACATTTAAAGATACAGCACGTGGCATATACTTCGTTTTTGAGTTTTTTTCATCCTTTTGAGAAACTGATAAAAGCTAAATTTTTGTTACACTAATACTTTTGATGAGGCTTTCTACTCCCGTAAAGATTTATACCCTCGGAAACCCTATACAGGGTCGCTATGGGTCGGAACCGACTCGATGGCACACAACAACAACAACAATACTTTTGATAATTATGACTTGAATAGATCACAAAACCAGAATTTCTAAAGTTTTCTCAATAGGCTTCCAGTCCAGATAATTCAGTTATCCTGTGTCTTAAATTGGGCATTTTGGTGCTTTTTTCTCATCATATAAACTATCAGTGGGTTCATCTATTAGCAGTTTGTCTTGATCATGCCTTGTTCTTGCAAATAGAAACCATCAATCCCCCAATGCCGGGAAAATAACAAAGGCAAAGAGCTGGGTGTTTCAGGACATGCTTGGAAACCGGTTTCTACAATCCTCCGATCCTTTTTCTTTCATAACGATTGTCTTTCTCACAATTGTGCAGTTACTGTCCTATGCGATTCTGCAAAACAGAACGATATTTTTTGAAGATCAAGTTTTCCATTGGCACGGAATTATTTCGAACGAACCCCCAAAATAATAGTGTGAGTCTCTCCTCAAGTAGTTTCCTCCTCTTTAAACAGCCTTGACCTTACTCTTGATCAATAATCTCATCACAGGCGAGTTCTTCGGTCAGACGGTTGACAACCACAAGGGAAAACAGCTCTTCAATTAAAGCTAGCTGATCAAACGGGGTCTTCTCGTAATGCATCTGGAAGCCGCCATCTAGGGCTGCTTCTCTGGCTCTGGGTGTTCGCAGGAACATCTTGTTGGCTTCTTCCAGGGCCGCGGAGACCCTGTAGCCGGCCCCGCTGACGTGCTCCTCTTCGGGATAGTCGTAGTCGTCAAATTCCTCGCCCTCTTCCTTGCTCTCCAAGCCTGGGGCCGAGACCTGGCCGGGCTGCTCGCCATGCCTGGGCCTGTTCGCCTGGCCGCCCGCCGCAGCCATTGGCT